GGAAAGATTCCACCACCAATCAGTGGAACTTGGGAAAGGTTGTAAACTAGGGAAGAGGCTATGCTTGTATTTTACCAGGAGAAAACCAGCCTCACATTTGGGTACCTACCAGGCAGCCAAAGCTTTACAATGAACCCCTACAATGAACCCCTCCAAACTACAGAGCAAGAAGAGAAAGAACAGGCCCAGGAGTGGTGTGGCGCAAGATAGCCAAGCTGAGTGTCTCAGGGACAAAGGCAACACAGAAAGCCAACCTGCTGGCATGGGGTCAAATGAAGAGGCTGGTACAGATGGCAACAGCAAGCCTGAGGGAGACTCGCATGGAGGTGACACCAGGTAATCTTATTCTGGCAGCAGTCATGGTTGTGACTGCTGGGGTAATAACCTTGTTTCAGCAGAAGAGAACTATACATATTGGGCCATTTCCACCTTTGATTACACCTATTACTTGGATGGATTCACCTACAGAGGTGTACATATGAAGCAGGGACAGCCGGGAGCAAGGCAACATAGTTATCTAACTGCCAAGCTCCCCTAACAAAGAGAAGCTCTGCCTCTATATAGGCTTACAACTCTAGATATTACATATGAAAGGGTCTTGGTTTTACAGCCTTAGAAATTACACGTGAAAGAGCCTTGGGTTTACATTTCTGAGGCCTTGGCCTTAGAAATTACATGTGAAAGGATCTTGGTCCATGGAGTGGGGGTTCCAAAGCAATGCCTTCTGGAAAGATTCCCCCACACCATACCTGCTATAGGAAGGCAATTAAGGAGGTGCCAGTCTTGAAATGCAGTGTGGAAGTCAAGGGGGAGGTGATCTTAGATGCTTAGGTCTCCTTCCTCACATAAATGATAGCATTTGGATGCCTGGTCTTACTAATAACCGGTGCCCTGCTCAACCAGAGGAGAAAGGAATGTTAATGAACGTCTCTCTTGGATATCGTTTTCCCCCTATCTGTCTCAGGAAAGCTCCAGGGTGTTTAACCCTAAAGCCTCAAAGCTGGTTGATATACATCCCAAGGGATAACAGAACTGGTCCTCCTTATCCTACAGTCAGTGGAATATCCTTTAGACCAAATACCCTGTATAAGATGCAACCCTATGGACGTTACACAACTTTTGAGTACACTAATCAATATAAGCCAAAAGAAAAACACTGCCCAAAAACCAATCCAGAATGGTCTCCTCAATTAGAAATTCTTACTTGGAAAGACTGTGTAGCTGACAGGGCAGTCATACTTCAAGATAATGCATATGGGACGATTATTGACTGGGCTCCTAAAGGTAAATTAAGAAAAAAACTGTATGAGACAGGTATCTTGTGTAGATGCACCAATATTGTTAGAAATAACGGAAAATGTAACAACTAGAAATAACCTACTAAAAGAATAGAATCTCCTTTTCCCACTAAATGTAAAGATAAAGGAACAGCCCCACCCAAACCAAAGTTCATTAAACCCATTTTAGGTCCAGAGCACCCGGAGCCTGTGGAATTGGCTATGGCAACAGCTCATGTGAGTGTGGAAAGGAAAAGGATCGACTGGCACAAAAAACCAAACAGAACTATTCCGTTTCAAAGTTGTGTTAAGCCACCTGTATGTTGGTATTAGGAAATGTAAGCATTAGACCTGATACTCAAACCCTTACCTGTGAAAACTGTAAATTGTTGACCTGCATGATTCAACATTTAATCTTGAAAATAGTACAGGTATTGATCGACCTACCACCTATGCAACTTACGACCATTCGACTTTACGACCACAATCGCTAGCCACGACTGCTCTGCGTCTGGCAGCGCAAACGTTGCCCATCTGGGCATACGACAGTGCGGACCAGCTTCCGGCAGCACTACCATCTCCATGTGCACCATTTCAACTGTACATATAGCCTACTCAACTTACGACCAAGTCGTGTTACGACCGGTCCGTGGTCCCGACCGTGGTCGTAAGTCGAGCACTAGCTGTATTCTACTAGTCAGAGCCAGAGAAGGAGTGTGGATTCCAGCAAACCTTAACTGATCATGGGAAGCCTCTCCTTCAGTACATATTATCAGAGGTACCAAAAGGAGTGTTAGATCAATCAAAATGATTCATATTTATACTAATTGCTATTACAGGAATTATAGCCGTGACAGCTTACTGCTGCAGCTACAGGAGTAGCTCCGCACACCTCAGTTCAAACTGCTCACTATGTGGATCTTTGGCAGAAAAATTCTTCTAGGCTTTGGAATTCTCAAACAAGACTGGATCAAAAATTGGCAAATCAAATTAATGATCCCCGACAGACTGTAATTTGGATGGGAGATCGAATAATGAGCTGAGAACACAGATTACAGTTGAATTGTGACTGGAACACATCTGATTATTGTATTACCTCCCATACTTATAATTCTAATGAACATCATTGGGAAAAAGTAAGGAGACACTAGGGAATGAGGACAGTTTAACACTGGACATTCCCAAATTAAAGGAACAGATTTTTCAGGCCTCACAGATTCATTTAAATGTTTTACCTGCAGCTGATATATTGGAATGAGCTACAGATGAACTTTCCGGCCTCAATCCTATCAAGTGGGTTAAAACTCTTGGAGGGGCTGGGCACGGTGGCTCACGCCTATAATCCTAGCACTTTGGGAGGCCGAGGCGGGAGGATCACGAGGTCAAGAGATCGAGACCATCCTGGTCAACAAGGTGAAACCTCGTCTCTACTAAAAATACAAAAATTAGCTGGGCACGATGGTGCGTGCCTGTAGTCCCAGCTACTCGGGAGGCTGAGGCAGGAGAATTGCTTGAACCCAGGAGGCGGAGGTTGCGGTGAGCCGAGATCGTGCCATTGCACTCCAGTCTGGGCAACAACAGCGAAACTCCGTCTCAAAAAAAAAAAAACAAAAAACTCTTGGAGGATCCACAATTGCTAATTTTGTTTTAGCAGGTGTCTGTTTATTCTGTCTGGTTTTAGTCTACAGATGCAGGAGAAAATTTCAGAGAGACAACCGAATGATCGCTCTCGCCCTCTTAGCTAAAAAGGGAGGAGATGTGCCGGGCGCGGTGGCTCAAGCCTGTAATCCCAGCACTTTGGGAGGCCGAGGCGGGTGGATCACGAGGTCAAGAGATCGAGACCATCCCGGTCAACATGGTGAAACCCCGTCTCTACTAAAAACACAAAAAAATTAGCTGGGCATGG